ACCAACTAGAGGGAGCTGTTTGTTGGGGCAAATTGTATGGTAGGGGTCATCGAAATGAGAAGCCGTGCCTGTTTGTACCTGAAGCACTCATGAATCCAGAGGCGGGTGATGCTCTGTTTGGTGTCATGGAAGTCTTTGTGTGCTCGCAATAAACCCTGGAACACCTGCATTGGAGGACATATTGAACATGCACAAAGCCTGAAGTCTAATTTCTTGTTTTTTGTCTGATCAAGCTCAAAAGAAATGCTCTAAGTGTCCTTGCAGTCTCAGATGCTTTCAAAGAGTGTTCTGAAAAGGTGTTATTTTGTACACCATGTATGTGTCTCTGATTAAAAGTGAGAGACAGTATTTTTCGGTCAGTCACTCTTTTCCTCAAACACATCTGAATCGCAGGCTTGTGGTGTTGAAGTGGCAAAGTGAACTGATATGTTTTATTTAATCTTTCTGGAATCAATCGGTCTGAATCAAAGTGATTTTACACTCAGACTGGGTGTACCTAAACCACAGTTTACTCCTTTTCCAGATGAGAGACAATCACACATGACGCATGATGTTAAGTACCTTGGAGATGTCTCTGAGGTTGAAGAGATAATGTATTTTTGCGGGCGTGGGTAAGAAGCGGGTGGTAATGGCGTGGTAGAGCTCCAGGGTGGCCTGAGTCAGAACTCCCCCGATGGGCTTCACATCCTCCTCAAACTCCTGCAGCTTCTGACTGATCGTGGTGCCATAGATGCGCTTTATCTGAGACTCCTGGAGAGAAAAGAAGAGGAGAAAGGAATTACAGGGGCAGATAAAACAGAAGATAAATAGAGCAGATAAGACAAAAGAAGAAAAGTGATTGGTGAGTTTGATGCACAGAAACATTATATTAAACAATCATCTGAGAAAAGAGAGTGCTTCGCTTATAAGGTTTAGACATTATTGCATATATCACTTGCATCAGGTTCACTTTACATGAAGTTGTTACATGCTGTGCGCCAAACGGGAAAGCGTTGCAGTCATATTTCCGTCATAATTCGATCAATTTACACCTAGATTAGAGTCAATCTCTACTCACTGTAGGGAATGTCATGTTGATAAGTTTAAAGCGGCTCTGAAGGCATCCAGGTATCTGAGTCCTCCCTCCACCAGGGGGCCCCATGGCAGCCAGCAGGAAAATGTCCTGCAAATTAAGAGAGAAGACATTTATATACATGCACATCTAAAATATATACTCATATGAAAACAAAATGCACACATAAAGTCTTACCTTGATACACTTGAGGATCTGTTTCTGGCGGTCGTACCAGAAGCCGTAGTCGATCCAGAGGCGAAGCAGCTCCAGAGGCAGCTGAAAGCCAAAGTCGTCCGTGGCGGGCATGTTGAGATCATCCAGGAAAACTCTTAATTATAATAACAAATGATGATGATGATATTTGGAGATTGATGATGATGATGGTAGCGATCTCACCATGTGTTCTAATATTTGCTCGTCAGGTTGGGCCATCTGAGCAATGACTCGGCTCATTACAGATGTGAGCGTGGACTACTAAAATATCACTGATCAACCATACACACACACACACACACACACACACACATACATACACAGAGAGAGCGCTCTGAACATTCTGAAGGTGACTGATATAAAAGTTCTGTGTGTGAGTGTACACTACTGTTCAGTTCGTAGTTGGTAAGATTTTTGTTTTGTTTTGTTTTTGAAATAAATTAATACTTTATTCAGCAAGGATGCATTCAATTAATCAAAAGTGACAGTAAATACATTTATGAAAGATTTGTTTTAATTGGAACTTTCTATTAATCCTTTCTAGAATTCTTACAAAAAATGTAGCAGTTTCCACAGAAACTGTTTTCAATTATAAAAGTTCTGTGTGTGAGTGTACACTACTGTTCAGTTCGTAGTTGGTAAGATTTTTGTTTTGTTTTGTTTTTGAAATAAATTAATACTTTATTCAGCAAGGATGCATTCAATTAATCAAAAGTGACAGTAAATACATTTATGAAAGATTTGTTTTAATTGGAACTTTCTATTAATATTTCCTATTTCTATTTAATAAAAAATGTAGCAGTTTCCACAGAAACTGTTTTCAATATTGATAAGAAGAAATGTTTCTTGAACACCAAATGAGCATTATTAGAATGATTTCTGAAGAATCATGTGACACGGAATACTGGATTATTCAGCTTTGTCATCACAGGAATCAATTACAGTTTACAATATATTAAAATAAAAAAAACTTTATTTTAAATTGTAATACTATTTCATAATATTACCGTTTCTACAATATTTTTGGTCAAATGAATGCACCCCTGATGAGCATACATAAACTTAAAAATAAATAATTAAATATA